ACAAGCGAGTAGTCGCCTACAATTATGTAAACGACTTCTTTTAAATGTTCGGTTGTGCCGATGCATTTCTTAAATACTATTTACCAATAGGAAGTTCAAAGGCGTTTGCATGTATTTCCTTTAATAAACTTGACTTGAGCCTTAGTGAATCTAACGGTCTAATCATAGAGCCAAGAGTTTGTTGTTCTGTCTGTCTGTCTTGAACGGTACGAGCGGGTCTTGTAACCCAATCGGTGAAGGAACTTCTAACATCGCTAATATTATAGGCAGAAATACATTACCGACGGGGACCGAGCAGATTGGAATGGCCCTTTCTAGCTTACTAGCTGTCATCAGGTCGCGGGTTCGCGCCCAGGGGATCGCCACCTCTGGGGTTGGTTACGGCTGGCTGATGACGACTAATAAGCCAGAAATGGTCATTCCAGTCTCTCTTGTCGCTAATGTATTTCTGCCTATGATATAAGGTAGCCGTTGAGCGGCTGCTGATAGGGCGAGAGAGTGAGCACCAAGGCCCAACAGAACGACGGAGTACCGTAAACGATCGGTGAGCTTCCATCTACGACTGCTAACATTCTCCATTCCAACTGGCAGGATAATGCACTCGTGGCTCAACGGTTAGGGCGTTGGACTTACTAAGGCTTGAGGACCAAAAAGAAATTGGATTCGAACCTCAGGTATCCACAGACCTGGAGTTGGGTAAGGCTGGCTGTCTGCTGACGACTAATAAGCCAGAAAAAAAAACGATTCCAGTCTCTTTTCGGTAATGTATTTCTGCCGAAATAACTAGTCTATGTGACTCTAAATCTCAAGTCACAATGGGAGGAGCATGTCCACAACCAGTTCCAACACGGTGAAACGGTAACGTTGTTGATAAAAAGCTCCAGTTAAGCCAGTTGTAAAAAACCCGGTGGCTTCGGTGAGAGTGAAACCCAGGGCAGCGAGGGAAGCCTTTAGTACAGCTAACACTCTAGCCAACTGAGCTACGAGACGCCCGCACCGAGAGCCGTGAGTTTAATCGCGGTAAGTTTTTGTTTTAAGTTTGCAAGAGCACATTTTCACAAAATGATGGAAGCTTCGTTGGAAGTAGTCGAAGTGAAGGCCGTTGCAGATATCACGACTAAATCGGAACAATCGGCACGTCCTGAGTTAGTTCAAAGGATGAAGAGGGCAAGGAGGAGGAGGAGGACGAGGGGGAGGAGGACGAGGAGGAGGCAACGATAAAAGGGGTGACAATACCTGAGAGCCTTCCAAGCAAGTAGTTTACAGTTGTCCAACCAAATAGAGCCTCATAGAGGCCAGAAACAGTCTGAGCCCAGTCATCCTCAAAATTGAAGGCGAATTTGGTTTTAATGGTCTGGCGAACAGAGACCCAGATGGCATTCTGCTGACTAAAAGATAGACCTTAATCGAGAGTAACAGAGAGTGACTTACGCCTCGGTCAGCAGGCGCATGCCAGCCGTTGCCAAAATGTACAGGGGTGTTGATGAGTGGGCTGCAGTCGGTATGTAGTCTGAAGCCGTCTTTATGAGGTCTGATATGTATGGCTGCACTTCTGCGGCCTTGCCAGCAAAGGAAGAAAGTCCGGGAGTCTTTTTCTTCACAATAGCGTTGCCGGCCGCATCTTGACACAAAGTAATAACAGGGATTTCGCCTGGGGGAGAATTTGCGGTGTCCACACAATAAACAAATATGCGGCTTCCACTGCTACCGGCGTCTACGACAATGGCATAATTGAATCCGGTGGAAGGGGAATTGACCACAGGACTGGCGGTGGATGTTTGAAGATGGGTCAGGCACCAATAGATGGCAACCATTATGTACACACCAAATACCAGCATCATTAAGTCCACTGGCCTTACCCGCATAAATCAGCTACAAGTAGGGGTAATTAGTAGTCTGAAGAGACCCTATAGACGGATGAGAAAAATAATGAAGCGAGTAAGTCAAAAGTTTAAGTCAAGAACGCCATTTTTAATGACAGCAGGTCCTCTGTGCATTGCCCCAAAAATAAAGGTATGAACTGGGACTATACTAGAGTCAAGACGATCAGGTGCCTTAACTTGACGTAACGGTCGTAAGAGAGCCACAACTGATAACTGACCACATCGGGTTTATGTGCATGGGTGTATAATATGAACTAGGTGATTCAATTAGAGAAGAAGCTCACAGAAAGAAAATGTATAACATGAATGACGAACCAATACTGGTATACTGGCTGGTTCATATTTGCAAAAAAACTGTCTAGATGGTTAGCTTGGAACCAGTAAATATAAGACATAAAAAGTGCCAATCGTATTATTGTACAAATGCCCACATGATAAGAGTGTTCGCCCGCTGACCTGATTGCTGGCTACTCGGTGCGTCCATGACTATCAGAAAGTGTAAGAGCCTTCGGGGAAGGATGTAGCTGCCTGACGAATGAATGGTGTAGGACCAACAGCGACGCCAAAGACTCGGTCTGGCAAACTAACTGTCCTATAATACACCGCAAAGTCGGATGGCAACACAGTAGCATGGCGATCCTTAACTGCCTTGTAGTTGGGTTCTTGAGCCAAAGTGTGAAAAGAGACACCACAGCGGCTGTTGGAGACCCGCCTGCAGTCAAATATTTCAGTGAAGCTCAGGAACAAATGACGGCTTTAAGGTGCGAAGTATGCTACAAATTCGAATGGCTCCAACGTGCTGCGCGTAAAAAGCAGGTGATCTAAGCTAAAAAATTAGGAAAGGACGCTCAGAAATGGATGTTGGAACGTGCGAACACTCTGGGCCGCGGTAGACAAAGCCTGGCGACGGGCAGTCTGCATCAGGGAAAAGTAAATGTTTGGTGCCCTCCTGAAGTCCGAATCCCAGACTCTAATATTAATCTTAACCCTAGCCCCCGAGTTTATACTAACCCTGACAACTCCGTACAATCCCCAAGAAAACGAGCAGGTAGAGCATTTTAGCCAAACTGTATGCAATACTATTTTAAGTGCTTCTAAATCTCAAAGTCTGCAGCTCACGCATAGGGGATCTGTTTACCTGGGCATCTTGCGCATAAGTATACCAATGTTATGTACCATTACTGACGTGACACAACATAAAAGCATGTTTATCTATAATCGGAGATCATCAACTGGAACCAGTCTCCTTGTACGGTTCACTTCTGGTCGAGTCCTGTTGAAGAAGAGTGGCCATTGAGGTCGATCTACTTCAGTGCGACCCTCAATATGCTCATTTCCGATAAATAAAAATCACGTTACGGTCACTTAAATCTATGTCATACACCTAATAATTTCTGAAATTATTACCTTGATATATGCACCTATATATGCGTGTGCAGAATAACATCACTGACAAAGACTAGGGAGATTGAAGTGACCATTAGTGGCGTATAAGCCATCATCAGCCAGGCATACCCAAACTCGGGTGTCGCAAAGCCTGAGGCTCGAACCCGCTACCGAATTATTAATTACCTCTTATATGAGGTATCCGCCGTAACCTGTCTCAGCGTGCATACTGTAGATGAATTCGTGAAGCAAATTTTTGTCCCATTATTCGACGGGGAAATCACCATACACGTTAATTGCATAGACTAGAAATAAAAGGACGGTCTGTCGGGATCGAAATTATATGAAGACACAGTGGGCATGTGTGTCATTACCTGCATCACCTCTGACATTCAGAGATGTTTAAAAAGTGGAATGCCAACGGCAGTACTATGTTATTTGACGTTGAGTCTGCCTTCGCAAAGCCACTGTAAATGTAGCTTGTTGGCTATGTATAACGCATCCGGAAAAATGTGAGCAACAGTACAGTTACCGCTGCTTTGTAGGCAACAACCTCCGGCCAACTTTCGGTAACGTTTCATCGTCAACGCAATAAAAACGGACTTGACAAGGTCATACCCTGGTATATTATATTTAATATAAGTTTTCGATATTGAAAGTTTTTAAAGTACCCTGATAGCATAGGTGGAGCGTTTTGCGCCAATGCACAGTTAGGATACACGGATTGGCTGAACTGACAGCTCCTTTTGGAGTCGTTTCGATGCCTGCAAGACTGCTCAACACGGTCAGGTAGATAATCCGCCTTTAGGAGCATTCCTGCTGCGAAACCGACCATTGTATGGGCATGCGCGTGTGAGTGCAAAATCGAGGACCTTGAGACACCTCCGCAGCCGAAGCGTTTTAGGTGAGCATGTTCGCTCACGTTTCGCGGGGAAATGTCATCAAAGTAACTCCCACTAAGTAGCTCGTTCAGAAAATTGGTGCTGGGTAAACGTACCACAATGTGTAAGGAATAGCAGAAGGGGATGATGAAAGCTAAATTGGAAGAGTAAGAAAGAAAGGAATGGAACGTGACAGTTTATGTTCCGTTTGCGGTATATTTCCAAAAAACGATAACGTTGTACAGTAGTCGCCGGTTATTAAGCCCACGGTTAATAGGCCCAGCCGCGTGTTAAGCCCAGATCAGCTTGGGACTGAATTTCAAATAGCAGAATCCGCCGGCTAATAAGCCCAATCGCCGGCTACAAAGCCCAGTTTGCCAAC